TTCCCCAGTGCCACTCATTCCCAAAGAATTCCCTCTTGTGCTTATCAGAGTTAGCACCCGTATGTACGGGTGCTTCTTATGCGACAGGGGATATAAATGGCAGAACCCACACTCTTGCATATTAACTATGTTAGATTGGATTTGGAAGCGATGTAACTGTAAACTTTGAATTCAGATTACGAGCTGTGTGGGTGAGGCAGCCTTAACTTTAGCATTTCCTGCTGTTTCTGTTTTTAAGTTGGTACCCAGGATGGTACTTTAACACAGGTATTGCCCTGTAATTGTAAAGGATTTGGGGTTGCCAGCGACTTGGCTGACAGTGGTGCTAATGGAGTGTGTACTGATGCACAATTCAGGAAGAAACTGAATTACTAGGTTTCTCATACCTAAAGCCTCATGTTTCCCCCAGTTGTCTGTTAGAAACTGCAGAGCATGTAGAAGAGTGGGGAGGCATTCATTTTCCATGATAGCCTGCTGGCATGTTGTCCATTTCCAAAAAGTATTTGTTGGTTAAAGGAGAGAGATGGTGGAGCCTAGTCTCACTGTGGTACCTGGCATAGTGCCTCCTACCCCTGGTGCATGCACAGTGCCCAGCACCTACCTGGAGGAGGGAGTAAGTGGACTGAATAAGCAGGTGCAAGTGGAGGAGCCGATACTATAGGGACGTTGCAGCTCTGTTCAGTCAACTGCTAAGTAGAAGCTCTTGTTGGCCACATTAAATGTTAGATTTTTCACATTGCTAGACCTTACCCCAAACTGTTAACATCCACAGGGAATAAGGTGAGAAAGACAAAAGGGTATGTTTACCATATGCAAAAAGATCTCTCAACTTTAATTTACAAGTAGGTTATTTTTCATTATTTGCAATCCTGTCGGCCAAAGCCTGTTCTGGACTGTGGCTGAACATCTGTACTGTACGGCGCTGAGCGCAGGGTGAGTGGGACTCGATGCTTACTGTTATCTAATAGAGATAAAGAGCCCCTAAAACAAGTCACAGTGTGTACATCCTGATGAAAAGGCTTTCCCAGGTGGGAAGCTGGTTTTTCAGTTGGGAGGTGGAGGATATATTTACTCACTTTAGCAGCTGGTGCCAGGTCGTGGGCAGAATGTAAGAGAGGCTATGTATAGGCATTTGGCACCTAGGACAGGATGCCTGTTTAAAACAGCTTTGTAAATAAGCATTCAGATTTTACCAGCCTGTACTCTTTTTTTAGCCAGTCTTCAATTCTTCCAGAATATACTTTTTTCTCATGTCTCCTCTATAAAGAATGCTAAGGGCATACTCCTTTTATTGGGGATACAGGTCCTGGTGAAACTTGAGTCACCTGGAGCTGGGGTCAGCAGCCGTGGACACTGTCAAGCCCGGCTTCCCCTGTGCTTTGTCCATCTCCAGGATAGCGCTAGGGCATGGCTATTCACTGTGGGGACTCTGTATGTTGTGATATCATTCCGCCCGTGTGAGATTTGGGTGAGGGAACAGCTCTGAGATTTCTTATCTTGTTGGATCTCTAGCACTCGCCAGGACTGCCTTCTTTTGAGTCCCTGGGGCCAGCCTCACTGGGAGTTGGTTCCGGTGGGCCACCCTCTCCAAGCTCATGCCTCAGGGAGGAGCCAAGCAGTCCACAAAGGCTCCTGGAAGTTAAGAGGCACAGAAGGTGATGGGGAGCTCCAATGATCCATAGCTAGGTCTTTTGTCCTGCATGCACAGGGTTCTTATAGGAGGGGATTGAATGTTCTGTTACCAGCTAAACATCGCACCTGTTCTCCCTTCCTGAAGCATGTCTGCCTTCCTCAGTAAGTGAATGAGTACCTCTTTGCCTCTTTTGTAAGAGGCAAACAGTGGTTTGGGGAATTTTCAGTGTTTAAGCTCCAAAGTTTTTTAATATATTGAATGGATGACTCAGAATTTGCTCGGCATCTGCCTTTGACATCAGCCATGTTGTTTTCACTGGCATCCACTCCTGAGCTCTGTATGCCCTTGCCACCTCTGAGTACTTCATGGGACTTACGGTCTTGTTCTTTGTATGCCCAGTACGTGGTACATACCTGGGGCTATAGAAATCTTCATCGTGGATGAATGCATACGTGGATTGTGTGTCACATTTCCTGTACTTGATATAACTCTTTGGAAGTACCAAAGCTCTTTATTTACAAGGTAAAAGCAGCAATAGTGCAAATTTGATTCTGTTACCTAGGTAATGTACTTTTACATTGTGTGGCTTCTGTGGCATTACTCTCTTGATTTTCTTATACTTCTCTGACTTTTACTTCTCTATAAAAAAATAGAGGTATGTCCTTTGAGGGCCCCTCTGCTCCTGCACCCGTTAAGCACTGGAGTTTCCAGGGTTCTCTCCTTGGTTCTTTTTCATCTCACTCTGCTCATTCTCTGTGGTGGGTCCCATCCATCCCCTTGGCTTCACTGCTGAGTATAATCTGATGCCTTCCAAATCCATATCTCTGTGAAGACCTTTCTGGGCTTTGGACCCTGGACTACCTGACCACTGACCATCTCCCACTTGGTGGCCTACACGTACTCCTGTCTCCAACTCAACATCGCCAAAGCTAAGCTTGTTATTACCACTCCTGGCCCTTCCAGTGTTCCCCGTCTACCTAGTAAACTAAGACATAAAAACCAGGAATCTCCCTTGATCTCTCTCTTTTCTGTATCTTCTAGGTGACAAAGAGGGGACCCGTGGAGTCTACCTCCTCAAACCCTCTGCCATTGCCTACTCTTGCTATTACTGTATGCTGGGTTGGCCTGGGTCCTTGCACCTCTTACCTGCAGTGTTGCTGAGACCTTCTGACCTGTTTTTCTGCCAGGGTCTTGCCCTCCATCCCTTCCTTCATCCTAGGGCACACTTTTTTTTCCCTGTCCCACTCTCTGCTGCAGCCACACTCATGAGTTCCCAGCTCGTGCTTTGCTTTTAATACCAGCTACTTTTACTCAGGCTGCTTCCCCTTCATGGAATCCCCTTTCCCACCTGCCCACCCTGCCTTGTCATCTTCAGTTTTAAAGACAAGTTCCCCTCGGATTTAAAGACTTCACTCAAGTGTCTCCTTTTCTAGGAAGTCTGTTATGGCCCCAGGGAGAATTAACTTCCTTCCAAGGTGTGCCCACTCAGCTCTGTAGAGACTTGGCTCATATCATCTGTGTGACACTTTGTTGTTCTCATCCCTCTGACTCCTCATCTCTCACCACCAGTTGCCTCTCCCCAGATTGGAAGCAGAACTTGAGAGTCTTACTCTTCTCTTTGTCCCCAGCACAGGGCCTGGAAGATAGCTAGTGCTCAAAAAGTATGTGCTGAATGGATGAATGAAGAGATGCATTTATGCTGGATGCAGTAAGAATGAGGGCTGGTTTTCCTTTGTGAATGATTTAGGTTGGTCTCCCTTAAATAAAGGTGCACGCATTAGAGTCAGGAGGCAGAAGTGGAGAAACAGTGGTGAATCACTCTTGGTTTAGGTTCTCATCCTACTTCCCATGCGGTCAGCTTGCTGCTAAGTGGACTGCTTCTGTGGTGGGGCATTAGGGGCATGGGAGAGGCATGCCCAAGTATCCTCACCTGTCATTGCTACCCGAAATTTCTCTAGTGACAGACCATGCTTTTTTTTTTTTTTTTTTTTTTGTTTTTTTGCCTTTTTTCCGTGTCCGGCAATGGATCGCAACCCTCAGTGTTGCCCCCATACTGGACCGGGGACAGGGAACGGGATTGCAACCCTCGGTGTTGCTCCCGCGCCTCGCTCAGCCAGTGAGCGGGAACCGGTCTGTATGTGGGATCCGAACCCTCGGGCAGGAGTGCCGCCGCGCTTCCCAAGCGGTGCACTATCCAGTGCGCCACCGGGCCGGCCCCCAGACCATGCTTTTGTGGTCAGAACTGCCTTATGTAGGCTAACTTAACTTGAAGCATGACTTATATTATCTGGGCCCTTTCTTGGTGGAATTAGGTGTTGGAAGAGACAAAGGGAAGAAGAAATTGGAGCTGCAGAATTCTGTAGACCATTAAGATGTTTTCTGGAGGCTTTTGACTATCTTGGAAGTGTCTGTGTTGTGATTGGTAATATCATCATTGATCATGTATTAGCATTCCTATCCATCAGTGTGTCAACCTCCTAGGGCTCCCATAGCTTCTAAAGGTCTTCCAGAGACCAGTGTTCTTGCCCATCATGCTGGACCGTTTCTTTGTAGTGCATCTGTCCATGCCAGGATCAACTCAGGCAGATTGACTTCTTGTAGTTGACTGGGGTCAGAAACCATCTCGTTTCACCTGGTTGAGGGGATCATCTATCAAATATAAGAATCAGAATGAAACCCTGTATTTTGATGGAGGCTGGTCTTTCCATTGAATTTGTTAACTTGAGAGCCAGTGGACAGAATTGCTGAGGATGGGATGTGTGTATAATTGTAGGCTGGAAAACTGCATACTCTATTACTGTTAATATTATTTCCCAACCTTTACTCTGGATGTTAACAAAGGTTTGCTGTTCTTCTTGGAACTTTCAGTTTAGGATGAAGTTGTGGTTGATGCCAGAAAAAGAAGAATTGTGCTTGCAAATGAGCAAGCTGTGGATTGTAATAAGGGTCTATGATTTCACATCATGGGTTTTCCAAGATATCCCTGGTAATTTTGCCCTCACTTAGGCAAAAATAGAGAAATACCAACAAAGGTCACTGCTGTTTAATTCTTGGTCCAAATAAATTACTTAAGATGTTTGCACAGCAATGGGAAGAATGACAAGGCATTAAGTCATTATTTTGATTGGTCTCCTTTAACCAAAACAGGAAGAAAACACTGCTTCTTCAATTAGCAAAAGCCCAGACCTGTTTCAGAAGTCCAGCTATGTGCATATTGTAATTTTAGTGTCAAAGGACTGCTGTGTACTGCCTTCTAGGTTTTTAGCTTTCTCCTTTCTTCTCTTTCTCTGTCTGAGCCTTGAAACCAGTCATTACTACTGTCTGCTTATAGCCAAATTCATAAACGTTTTTGTCATTTTTCATGCAGATTTCAGCAATGTCCCTGACATCACAACTGGTCTGAAAAGGAGTCAGACTGTTGGCACTCTGGACCAGGTTTTCCACAGGGAGAAAATGGAGCAGACATTCAGGGTAAGATGCTGTCCCAAATCTCAAACCAAAAACCAGGCAGGTGAGTGTTGATGCCCACCTTTACCTGAGGTGGAAAAAAAAAGAAGATGGAGTCAGCCTATCCTTAGGTCCATAAATTGGTATGAACGTATTTTTTTCCTTAAAGGAAATAGTTTTTCTTTTTCCCTTTCTTTATTTGTAATACTAACAGGAATAATTACTTCAGCTAGAACTCCCCTGTGAGTTCTGGCATGCCATCAAAGAGCAAAGCAGATTGCCATTAGGATGGTTTTGTTTAGCTATTTTCACAAGAAAAACCTATGCTCAGGTGTTCTGAAAGTCATCTTAAATTACTATTCTGTTCCTTACCTACATTTTTTTTTTTTTGGCCAAACATAAATTATTTTTGGAATTTTGTCATTTTGTTGTGGTAAAATATATACAGCATAAAATTTAGCATTTTACCATTTTCAAGTGTACACTTCAGTGGCATTAAATACATTCACAGTGTTGTTCAACCATCACCACCACCCATCTCCAGAACTTTGTCATCTTTCCCAAACAGAAGCTCTGAACCCATTGAACAATAACTTCTTTTCCCCCTCTCCCAACTCCCTGGTAGCCTCTACTGTACTTATCTGTCTCACTTGCCAATTCTAGGTACCTCGTATGTGAGTGGTATCAGAAAATATTTGTCGTTTTGTTTCTGGCTTATTTCCCTTAGCATAATGTCTTCTAGGTTCATCCATGTTGTAGCATGTGTAAGACTTTCATTCTTTTCAATGGCTGAATAATATTCCATTGTATGTATATACCACATTTTGTTTATGTATTCATCTGTTGATAGACACTTGGGTGTTGCCACCATTTGGCTATTATGAATAATGCTGTTATGAACATTAGCATACAAGTATCTGTTTGAATCCTTGTTTCCAGTTCTTTGGTGTACACACCTAGGAGTGGAATTGCTAGGTCATATGGTAATTCTATGTTTAGCTTTTTGAGGAACAGCTCAACTGTTTCCCATAGTGATGTACCATTTTACATTCCCACCAGCAACGTGTGAGGGTTCGAATTTCTCCACATCCTCTGCAGCACTTGTTATATTCCATTCCTTTCCTACATTTTTAACTGTTTGTAGTCAGCTATCTTCATTAATGATCTGATTGACATCAAATTTAATCATTTTAATATGCAGTCTAATTTTAACTGATTTTGAAATTACAACTGTATTTTATATTTGTTGCTTTTGTCTTAAATACAAAATAAGAATGGAGGAAATATAAGCAATGATAGGTATTTAAATAAAAACTATAGTGGGAAGATGCCCCAGTTGGGTTTAGACTTACCCTACCAGGAGACAATGTTTTGCTGAGTGGTCATGTGGCACATTCAAGGATCAGGAATTGGTGATCAGCGACATGACATCCATTGTGAGGGGGGTGGGCTTAGACCCTGTCAGCTTCAGAGCAGATCCCAGTGGAAGCCCTGTACTCAATCTCTCCTTTCTTCTTTCCTTTATTACTCTCAGAACTCTCCCCCATTCCCTACCCATCTCCTCCAAAATCTCTCCTCCCTTTCCTCCAGTTTTCTTAGACAAAGCTAATATTCAACTGCCTTCACTGGTCTGGTTTTATTCCCAGGATGCAAATTCTTTTACTCAACTGAGATCCATCAGCATTTTTAGTCTTACTACTTTGTTCTATCTGGTGGGTTACTTACTTTTGGGAACCCATATCATAGCTAATAGTCATTAGTTTTTTTCTGTTTGTTTTTTAATACAAAACAGTGGGTCCTACAGCATCAAATAGATGTATTTTGATTGCTTTGCCTTAAATTTTTTAAAAAATCCAATGCTCCTGAAACACTCATGAGGTGAGACTATCTGTTTAAGGTCATTGTGCCTGACTGAAGGGCACTGGCGCAGCATGGAAGCTTGGGGGGCACCACTTAACGCCATTAGGAACAGTGATTTCCTGCTTGAGTTACACAACGTTAAAGTTCTTAAGAAGGCAATTAAATTTTTTTCCAAAATTTATTCAGATTCAGTAAAATAGGCATGTAAAAAAGTTAGTATGTTAAGGCCATTTCCAACTCTTTTATTTAACAATGCTTATTATAACTAAATGAGGCATATACAAGGTGAACATTGAAGCATCAGTTTGAAATCTAGAAGAGGAGTGAAAGCTGCTGTTCAGGTTGAAATTGGGGCAATCTGAGCTTTAATTTTCAAGAATGGTGGAAGGAGAAAGAAAATATTTACATAAATACATACATACATAAGTACCAGTGGACACAAAAGAAAAAACTTATTGAAAGAACATGAGCATGTTAAGCATTTGCTGCCAAATTCCTCTCAAATCTAAAGGAATCACCTTAATCTTTTTTTAGATATGAAGATATCTACACTAATAATAATAATAATGAATTTCAGTACATTAAAAAAAAAATCCTAGGAAATACCTGGCAGTTATTCAGTTCACATGTTCTTGTTTCTTGGGAAAGAAGATTTGGTGACTACTGAAAGTAATAATTGTGATGGGATCCGAACCCTTGATTTTGATGTTCAGCACTATGATGTACCAAGTGAGATTAATGGGTCAGCCCCTCTCTTCTGTTCTTAAAATGGTGATTTGGGAGTTTTATGATTCGTGCCCAGCGTGTGCTGGGAATGGCTCTTTCAGGACCCCCTGTGCACACCGTCCCCATGATGCCCACAGATGGTGGTCATTCTTCAGGGATAACACCTGCTTCTGCTTGCCAGGCCTCCTGCTCTGGCCCAACTAGTCGTCTCAAGGGTCATTAACTTCTTTTCTGACTAGATCCTGGTTGAACCTGGGCTGTTTGGGATATTTTACTTACAAATATTCTAGACTTTAGAATAAGGAATAATTTCCCTTGAAAATCAAATGAAGCCTGGCTTGATGAAGCACAGCTGTAACCACGGCTTTTGACAGCCCCACAATTTCCGCAAATGGTTCATAATTGATTGCCTTCTTTCTATTTAAGGGTGCCTATTACTGTCACAGCTCTTTGTGTGACCCTGTCAGCCTCTCCTGTGTGGGGCATTTTTTCCCTCAGTATTGTTAGCAATTAGCATGTGCTATTGTAATAGTTTGGAATTTGAACAGAATATACAATTTCCCATTGGGTGAGGGGGTTGAAAGAGTTTTTGGTTTGTTCTGGGAACTTGAGGTGTGTTAAGCAGAAATGTTGCATGCATTCTTTTTTCTGCTCTTTGAGCTGGCACTGAAGATGTGACACTTTGTGGTGCTGCCGTCTCCACGTCTGTTGTAACCTGGTGCCTTTCCAGAGCAGGCAGGCTCACAGCATGGGGTGGAAGCATAGAGGAAGGCAGTGAGCCTCCTCCAGTCACCGGTGCTGCTTTGGAGGAAGAGGTTGGTGGCGCTAGGGCGTCCCTTGTGAGTGTGACTTGGAAGAACAGTTTGGGATTTTTTTCATTGCCTGGGGATGAGTGAAAGAGAACGCATGTCTTACTCATTTCCCAACAGCCGACAGTAGATGTAATCCTTTCTCCCAGAGAGAGCAGGTTTCTTTGAACTTTTCCTTTTAATATACAGCATGTAAGTAAATGAGGGCTTTGATTTTCATGGATGTGGATTCTGATCCAAATGTAGGCATGCTTGCATGGTTTTCTTTTCACGATTGAAAGATGATTTTACTCTAAAAATGTATAAAGACTGTTATGCAGATGAGAAGATATGTCTTTCTTTCCAGAAGGGATTCTGATGATAATCTTTAAGCAATTCTGACAGTAATTTTTAAGCACTCTTTGTAGCTAATGATAAGAGAATTTCTTTTGGATACTAGTCATTCTGTGGCATTGGCAACTTTGCCTTTCTCATTCCAAGGTCTTTAAATCGATCTCTGAAATAGTTTTGTCTGTCTGAAACATAAAGATAGCAGAAAGATGTAGGGAAATATTTGCTTTGTAAAGTACGTTTGAAAAGAGAGAGCAGAATAATTTGAATATAACAAATTATTTTACACTTGTAAAATTTCCTTGGTGCATAGCTCATACTTATATTGGGCTTACTACTGTAAAAGAAAATCCACAAAAGTGAAACCTGTTTTCTACAAGGTAAGCAGAGCTTTTAATTTAGTTATTCCTGATTAAATGATTTTTCAGCTTTTTAGAAGAATTTTATGTAATCACCTAGTGTAGCTTTAGCAGTGATTATTTTCGCAGTTTGTAGGCGTTGTGTTGATAGAACACAGAGCATTGAGAATCTGGAGATATACAGCATAACAACCGTGTGTTGTGCTCTTTGCAATTTAATTATGCTTAAAATATATTTTGTCCTGTTTATTTTTTTAAGGTAGAAAAAAGGCATGTGTACTAATGGTTAGGTTTTTAGAGCACAGCAGAAACATAACTTACATTTAATATTTAATTCTTGCTCACCCCCTTAGGTTAACCTTTTAAATTTTTCACGTGAATTGCTATTAAGAGCTTGCACATCTAAGAAGCTAAAGGAAAAGGAAAATATTATTGGACTATATGACTTGTTTTCCAGCATTCCCAAAGTATACATCTTTCTTTGAGTTTCATGCATTATTTCAAGATCTTTTTGGTTGTGTTTTTGTTAAAAAGCCAAACCAAAATGTCATTTATTTATTTATGAACAGTGGTCTTTCTACATGCCTGCTATTCAATAGATTAGTATAATAATGATCCTTTTCTTGCTTATGGTGGTATATGGGAAGGAACTGTTGGCCTGATGGTTGGAAACCTGAATTTGTATCCTGGTCCACCAAGCTTTATGACTGTGTTACCCAGGGCAAGTTACATAACCTTTCTAAGCCTGTGTGTCCTCATCTGTAGATAAAAATAACAGTACTACCAAAATGTACAACTAAAAGCACACACGTGAAAGATTATTAGGCCATGAGTTCCTCTTCCTGACGTGGCTCACTGCATACATGTTTTTGAATGCTTTCTCACTGTGTGCACCTAATGGTCTCTTGATCCAGGGGCATTCAATGTCACATAGGGTGCT